AAAAGGTTATTAGACCACGAGGGATATTGGAAGGAAAGAACGCAGTTGTGGGTGGCGGGGAGGGTTGAAACTATCCTTTATGTAAAATTTAAAGAAACAATTGGTTGTAGCATTTGAAAACTCCAGTAGGTACACTTGGGCATGAGCAATGAGACCAGATTTTTGAATTTGTTTAAGAGAGAGAAGTGTATCAAGAAAAATGAACAGGCCGTGAACTGACCCATTAAATATTAAGTATGGAATTTGTAACAGAAGGTAACTTTGACACTCCTACGTCATTTATGATTCTTTAACTTTTGAAGTCTGCAACCCTATGAATTTTTGTAGGAAAAAAATAAAAAAGCATCCCTATATTTAGGGACACTGGATGAAATATCTTCAGAAAATGAAATATTTCAGGGGAAATTATTGCCTAATATGTCACCACTTTGAAAATGATTAAAGAAAATGGGGTCTCCCCCAGCAGAGGCAGGTACTTTGACTTGTCAAATTTAAGTTGGACATTTTCTCTTAGTTTGGAACTGCCACAAAATGAGCCCTTTCATGTCTTCAATAATACCAAACCAATGCAATCCATCTGTTCTGCTAAATTATTTCTAGTTCCCTAACCAAAGGCACTGCTTTTTCATGCATTTTATCATGATTTTATGCCCTTTATTATATTTTACAAAAGGTTCTGATTCCTCCAGGGCCAATGAGAACTGATTAGGACACTGGCCTCAATCCAGGCTTTGAACACAAGAGGGGAAGGAATAGAACTGTTTCCTTTTTCCCCTGGTCCTTGGCAGAAAAAAAATATGAATGTGTACCGTGTGTGTGCTCTGTGTGTGGGTGGGTGTGGGTAGGCTGCATTTTATCCTGTTACAGTATGACTTTGTAGATCATGTTCAGAACATTCCTTTTATAATCAGGTTGCATTAATGGACTTTATTTCAGAAAGACTGTTTCTTTAGGAAAGAACCATGGTGTGTTGTGAGACTCAGTGATATGGTCACTTCACATAACTTCAGTCAAACTTTAAACCTGAATGTAGACTGTTTGGGGCTTTGAACTAAATAAGATCATATACCCCAGGTACTTAACACTGAGAGTAGGCACTCTGCATGTTAGTTCCTTTACTACTGTCAGGGAAGAACTGCTTGAATGCAAGTCACAGAAAATGAAAATATAATAATGAATACATCCTACATCACAGGGTTTCTTTATTAGGAAGATGAAAGAAGAGCTGTAAGTTTTCTTTCCTAAGCCTGTATTGGTAAGGTATTTAAGGACCTGTATTTGGATTTCAAGTAAGAAAGACCCAGAAGAATGCCATCCCTTATATGCATTGAGTGTCCAAATATACTCAGAATTCTCAAAAATCCTTTTGGTCAGAATCATAGATGACTTTAGATAGACATCCTGCATGCTGAGTATCTCTGAGAACGGAAATTAGGATCTCCCTAAATTATGATTATCGGAGCACTTTATCCTATTTTGTGACTCATTATGCTGTTGACCTTTGACTCAAGAGAGCATCATGAGAGAGAAATGAAAGAATAAAGGCTATACAGGAAATAGAAAATATGGGAAGGACTTAAATGAAAATATCTATATTTAAGCATAAACATATAATAAATTGCTGATGAGAATAGCAGAAATGAGAACTGTTGGGAACCTCAATTTGAGAGGAAAAGTTAAATGTGACAAATTTAAGACATCTGATAAAAGTGACACAAAATGGACCTACCCCAGGAGATCGTATGTGTTAAGAAGGAAAACTATTGCTATTTCAGAATTTTCAGCTTAGTCATCCACCAAGTTTCCACAGGAGTGCCCCTGTGAGATATAAATCTCAGAACATGCTTTCTCCAGATCATTTCTCCAGGTAGAAACATTTTTCATACTGAGTTGGTTTTTACTGCTCCCTTTCTGTAGAAACATGTACATCCTCTTTGTAGGTCTTGTTGTCTAGCATCCATAGAAGCAGAGGTGATTATCAAGAATAAGTACTACATTATATTTAGTGTAATTATTTTTTTAAGAAATATATTCTATAATAATAAAAAGAACCAGTATGAAATACTTCCTTGGAGTCATAAGGGAACAGAGAAGGGGGGCAGAAAGAAATCAAAGTGCAAACCTAGGAACTGTCTTACATTTTAATAGTGAAAGGTAGGACAAGAGTGTAAACTAGAGCAGAATACTTTCCGAGTAAGTCAGTGCTAAATAGGCTGCACCAGATGTCCTATCCTTACTGTCAGTTAACTGATATTACACAAGAGGATAACTGAGATTCAACAGGTGTCCTTTTATGATTTATCAGCATTTGGGCTACCATCAATAATGAAATCTTGTTAGCAGATTATTTTTGAAGTGTGTGATTGAGCATTCAGCATAAATGTTAGTGAGATTGTGGGAGAATGAGAAAGGAGTTGGGACAAGTATGAAGTGTATGGTATGTAAATATATGTGACTAGTTTATGAAAACATAAAGATATGTTTATTATTAATGGTATTTAATGTTATGCTAGAGGCAAAAATTCAATTTAGAGTTGAAAAAAAATATCTTTATAGAAAAAGAGAAAGGGAAAAAAATTGACAAAACTTTATGATAGTAGTCAAAACGTGGGTTTGATTGTTAGCTATAGAACTGACATTGTTTAAGATATAGATGTTTCATTGTATCGGGATGTGAAATGTTAGTGGCTCTTAATTTCATAGGCTCACAGAAATGAAAGCTGGAAGCCCTATTATTTCATGTTGTTCATTATTCTGCCAGACTAAGACTGGTTACCACAGTCTGGTTTCCAGTGCTGTGCTCATTCCAATTTTAGATGACTCAGACCATGGAGTTGCCACTGTTTATCTTGGGGGATTTTCCACCAGCTGAAATCTCACAGTTAAAATGTTAACCTTTAATATTTCTTTGAACTTTCTCTTGCTTATTTTATCTCATTATTTGCTCTTCTTTTTCTTTGGTTGTTCTGGTGTTTCAAAAATGCTTCCAAATTTGATGTTTACCAGCAAGCCACCTATGTCAATAACATGTTTATTTATTGATCAGAGCAGTGGTTGACCATGTGGTCATCATTAAATTTGCCTTTATCTTCGGCATTACTTAGCTGGTTTAATTTCATCATTCAACTCCTAACTGGAAATAATTTCTCTACAGGATTTAAAAATTTTTTCTAGAAATGTAAATTGGGTGTCAAAAACCGGGAACTTCAATGCTATGACAAAGAAAATTCCATAAGCATTTGTTTATTTATTTGGCACATAATAGCACAGTGTCAAGAAGTTTCTGTTTTACATCATTCCCGCTACCTTGTTCTTACCCCTCCGGTCCCCCACCATTCTTCTCTCACTGTGACATGATGATTTATTTTCTGTGACAAGCGCAGCTCTGCCCTCTACCCAGTAAACTCCTAGGAAGTGTCCGCATATTGAGATTTTCCCAGCCTACTCCCTTAAACATCAACAGCAACCACATCTCCTTAAACTAGGGAGGTTGAGTATGGAATTGTCCTGGTCCTGAGAGGTGGTGTTGTCTCCTGATGTTTCTATGTCAGCTGGTGATTCCATGGTCAGGAACATGAGAGGACAACGTTCCCTGAACAGATTCTCTTTGAATTTCAGTGTAGTTCTCTACTAATACAATACTAGGAATTACATTACAAGTACCTTGTTGTGACACATATTTTAAGTGAAATGTTAATATTGCCTGGGTAATTTTAGGAAGCACAGCAATTTTCAAAAGTATGGCTAATTAACTCCATACATCAGCATGATGTTTTTTAATTTTTATTAATTTTTATTTTTTTTAAAAAATTTTATTTATTTGTCAGAATGAGAGAGAGAGAGAGAGAGCGTACTCACAAGCAGGGGGAGCAGCGAGGGAGAAGCAGGCTCCTGCTGAGCGGGGAGCCCGATGTGGGACTCCATTCCAGGACCCTGGGACCATGACCTGAGCCGAAGGCAGTTGTTTAACTGATTGAGCCACCCAGGCATCCCCAACATGATGTTTATTGGGCTTATAGGTATGCCAACTGAGAAATGTGGCCAGGAAGAATACTTTGCATATTGACTAACTGAGGTTTCACTTAATGTGTAATTTTTTCTATGTTGAAGGACCGTGGTTTGTTAGTTGAAGTGCAAGTTTCTGCCTAAGATGTGCATAAAAACATTGACTGAGTCTAGAGTGTGTCAGACTATCTTTGCTAAACAGCAGTTTTTGTTTTTGTTTAATTTCTATTCTGTCACAGACTAGTGGTTTTATAAAATACATTGAATTACTATAAAAATAAAATAAAAATTGAAGGCACCAAGATTATATTAGATTCAATAGACATAAAAATAGTCTCTCCAATTACTGTAAAAGTTTCTAAATATCTACTCTGAATTTCTATATAGACCTCATCATGGACAGTTCATGAACAGTTTCTGAAATGTTATGACCCCATAGGACACACTTTGAAATACTGATCTAGATTAGTAGTTCTGTGAGGTGCACACACATGAAGTGATCAGCATTTTGGTGATAATCAAATACATTAAAATGTATTGGTACTTACGTTCTTTAGGAAATAATAAAGAATTTGTTCCAACAACTTGTAAAGGTGAGTGTAAAATAAGATTTTAATGAATTTACTTCTCAGCCAAACAGTAGCCTGTATTTTTGTTGTTGTTGTTTTTTATTGTTTTAGCCGCTGTTTCTTTTTAGCAGATACTTTTACAAAGGAGTTAACTATTAAATTTTTTATTATAGATTTATTTTTTATGCCAAAGAAGACTATGCTTTATGTCAGTTGCCTATTTAGGCATAAGCAATCCATAGGATCTGAACCTTACATACACTCCATTTTTCAAATGTTGTTATGGTACTTTACTAAGCAAATCAGTGTCACATTCCTGCATGATGAAATTCGGTTAATTGTTAATCATCTTAAATGTGACTTAGGTCTTACTTTCTTCTAAATGTTGTCAGTAGAGTACTGTAGGCTTCTGCTGTTTTCTTTCAGCGAATTCAAGGTCGAAAAGCCAGCCTGGAGGAAATACAGCTTGTTCATTCTGAACATCACTCACTGTTGTATGGCACCAACCCCCTGGATGGACAGAAGCTGGACCCCAGGACACTCCTAGGTCTGTACGGGTCTCCATTCTACTGAGAACAGCACATTCCAGCACTATCATTAGTCAATGCTCTTGTCAGTTCAAAATACTTGGCAAGCAGTGTGACAAAAAATCAGCTTTTCCAACAGCATTGCTCTGTGGAATGAGTCCTTTACAGTAAAAGCCAATGTAGATTAAGAAAATCTTGCATTAGAAAAAATGATAATGCAAGTTCCATGATGTTTACTTTTAAATTAACCTTTATTTGAATAGTATTTGTTCACTATGTTTCAGCCTACAGAAATGGATGCATTGTTGAGTTTGTTTGCCCACATTTTTAAACTAAAAGAAAAAAAAGGTTTTCACATTCTTTATGCAAATTTATCTTCACCTTTCCAATTTCTTTTGTGTCTTTTAGTTCTTTTTTTCTATGACCTTAACAAACAAAGGGCATAGTACCAACTTACTTTAAGTCAAAACTCCTTATTACTATGCTAGAACACTGCATTTTATAGTAAGATTGCATTTTTTTAAATTTATTATTTTTTAAGTAATCTCTATACCCAATGTGGGGCTCAAACTCACAATCCAGGATCAAGAGTTGCATGCTCTTCCAACTGAGCCAGCCAGGCACCCTGCATTTTAAATCTTGGTGTAATCTATTTAGTGAATGCTTAACTATGGAATTAAATAGTAAAAAGTAGATGGCAGAAGTAGAAAACTAATAAATATAATTTTTAATTAATATATAATTTTTATACATTTACCATCAGATTTTAAAATAAAATTTATGTTGCAGAGCTTTACATAAACTTATATGAGTGATAGAAACAACAGATTTCAGAAAACAGTTTGTGACAAAACCATATTTTAGCTAGAACAATTAATATTAATTATATTAAATTCATTAATATTTTATAATGAATTAACAATACACGACATGACAATGTATGCCACAAGGATCATGTTTAAATATTTTAACTAAAAGGGTATTTTAGGGCTTTTTCTTGTCCCTTTCTTTCAAATAAACCTATTGTGTCAGATCCAAAGTATTGGACCCTTTAGCACCTAATTCAATACTATTTCTAGATGGATTATGTTAACTGGTCCTAACCAGTTCAAAAACAAGGATATGGGGGCACCTGGGTGGCTCAGTTGGTTAAGCATCCAAATCTGGGTTTCATCTCAGGTCATGATCAAGCCCCCTTTCGGGCCCCTTGCTCAGCATGGAGTCTGCTTGAGATTCTCTCTTTCTCCCTCTGCCCCTCCCCCACCTTGTGTGCTCACATGCTCTCTCTCTCTCAAATAAATAAATAAGTAAATAATCTTTAAAAAACCCCACAAAAGCAAGTATATGACGTGTAATAGGCAGGCATCTTATAAAGCAGTTATAAAGGGAAATTAACAGTTACCCATTATAATGCTTCCATTCTGCCTTTTTAAAACAAGTGGCAGGCATCCCTAAATTTATGAAGTAAAGGCATATGGGTGAGCGTATGTGAGCATGTGCATGCATGCAGGGTGGGTAGTGGTAGCTTGGAGAGAAATTGAAAGAAATGGAAACATAAATATTACTCAATTTTTAGAAAACATGGTAAAATTCAATGATGAGAAATAATTTGTATAGTAGAATTAAAGTTATATATTAATATAAAGGCAAGTCAGTCCAAACATAAATAATCTATGTTTTTTTTTCTAATTTCTTTTGAAGGAATCAGTCTTTGAACATGCAGATCTTTTACATAAAGGACTTCTTTTGCTATGGATACTGTTTAATAAATGTCCTTACTTTAACATGAATTAATAATCCCACCTAGTTTACCACAAAGATCAAGTAAATTGAACATTAACTTTCATGGTTTTATGAGGTAAAAATACTCACGTATTTAAAGATAGGAAGCTATGTCCATTTTGAAATTTTTTAATTTAGTAGAAAATCTCCTTAATTTTTTTATTCTAACTATGGTCTCAAATGATAAATCATCCTAGGCATAGGTGTAGGTACTTTGAATTTAACTGGGATAAACTTACACATAGGTGTTTGAGAGATGTTTCAAACAACCATTATTCCACATTTTAAGAGAAAGGACATACCTGTAGAAGAAATGGAGAGATAAACTTTTTTTTTTTTTTAAAGATTTTATTTATTTATTCATAAGAGACAGAGAGAGAGAGAGGCAGAGGGAGAAGCAGGCTCCCCGCCGAGCAGGGAGCCCGATGCGGGACTCGATCCCAGGACCCTGGGATCATGACCTGAGCCGAAGGCAGACGCTTACCCATCTGAGCCACCCAGGTGCCCTGGAGAGATAAACTTAAGCAAGTCCAAACTGTTTTACTTATGAAACATGGCAATACTACTGATTTTTTTAATGAAATTTGACACTTGGACAAAACTGATTTTCTCAAAATAGTTGACAACTATCATTTTAAAATGTGATGATTTAAAAGTGAATTCCAATGTATAATTTAGAACCTGGACAAAGGTCTTTTTCATGTATGTTTGCCATGAAAACACCAAGTGTCAATAGTTGAGTCTTTACAGGATTTTTTGTCATTGTCCATTGCTGAAATTTTATTGGAATATACCCATCCCCATTCTTTTTTTTTTTAACTTTTTATTTTAATTCTAGTTAGTTAACATACAGTGTTAGTATTAGTTTCAGGTGTATGATAGAGTGATTCAGCAGTCCGTACAACACCAGGTGCTCATCACAGCAAGTGCAGTCCTTAATCTCCATCACCTATTTAATCCATTCCCTCCCTCTCCCTGGTAACCATCAGTTTGTTTTCTATAATTAAGAGTCTGTTTTGTGGTTTGTCTCTCTATTTCCCTTTGCCCATTTTTTTTGTTTTTTGTGGGTTTTTGTCTTTTTTTTTGAGAGAGAGAGAGAGAGAAAGCATGTACACAAGAGCTAGTGAGCAGGGGAGGGGCAGAAGGAGAGGGAGAATCTGAAGCAGGCTCCATGCCCAGGGTGGAGCTTGACTCAGGGCTCAATTCCAGGACCCAGAGATCGTGACCTGAACCGAAATCAAGAGTCCAGAGCTTAACTGACTGAGTCACCCAGGCTTTTTTCTCAAATTCTACATGTGAGTGAAATCATATGGTATTTATTTTTCTTTCTTTCTTTTTTTAAAGATTATATTTATTTATTTGAGAGAGAGAGAGAGATAGCGAGAGAACAAGAGTGGGAAGGAAAGGGAGAAGCAGGTTCCCTGCTGAGCAAGGAGCTCGATGCGGGGCTTGATCCCAGGACTCTGGGATCATGACCTGGGCCGAAGGCAGCGGCTTAACCGAGTGAGCCACCCAGGTGCTCCTGGTATTTGTTTTTTTATCATTGACATATTTTGCTTAGCATTATACTCTCTAGCTCCAGGCATGTTGTTGCAAATAGCAAGATTTCATTATTTTTTATGGCTGGGTAATATTCCATTGTATATATATAGCACATCTTTATCCTTACTCATTAGTCGATGGACACTTGGGCTGCTTCCATATCTTAGTAGTTTTTACAGTTTTATTTAAATAAATTGGCCATATATGTCATTAGATTTTAGTATTTAATGTGGGATAATATTCATATGGTTGATGATTTTAGAGTTGCTTTAGATACACATGAGGAGTTCCATAGGTACCTCTCAGGGATCAGTGCAGCAATTTCAATATTGTGTGTAGGCTACATGAGTAAAGATAAACAGGGATGTTGCCATTGTTAGATCCTGATTTTAAGCACAAAATTCAACTTTTTTTGGGAAGATTTATTTGAGAGGGAGAGAGCGCACGCACAAACTGGGGGGAGGGGCAGAGGGAGAGGAAGAAGCAGGCTTCCCACTGGGCAGGAAGCCTGAGCAAGGCTCCATCCCAAGACCCTGGGATCATGATCCAAGCTGAAGGCAGATGCTTAAATAACTGAGCCACCCAGGTGCCCCTAAATTCAACTTTGATAATACCTCTGAACTACTTCAGTCTTTCTTGTGAATCCAGAAACTTAGATGGGTTGCCTTAATTCAAATTCTAAGTGAATAATCTCATTCTTTTAAAAGTTTAACTTTAGGGCGCCTGGGTGGCTCAGTTGGTTAAGCGACTGCCTTCGGCTCAGGTCATGATCCTGGAGTCCTGGGATCGAGTCCCGCATCGGGCTCCCTGCTCGGCAGGGAGTCTGCTGCTCCCTCTGACCCTCCTCCCTCTCATGCTCTCTGTCTCTCATTCTCTCTCTCGCAAATAAATAAAATCTTAAAAAAAAAAAAAAAAAAAAAGTTTAACTTAAAAAAAAAAGGGGGGGGCGCCTGGATGGCTGTCATTAAGCGTCTGCCTTCGGCTCAGGTCATGATCCTAGGATCCTGGGATCGAGCCCCGCATAGGGCTCTCTGCTCCGCGGGAAGCCTGCTTCTCCGTCTCCCACTCCCCTTGCTTGTGTTCCCTCTCTTGCTGTGTGTCTCTGTCAAATAAATAAATAAAATCTTTAAAAAAAAAAATTTAACTTTTCATCCTTTTTTTGTTCCTTATGAAATTTGTTTTTTTAATTTTTTTTCTTTTTTATGACATTTGAATTTTTGTGGCTTTTTACTTCTGTCTTAAAGATCAAAGTTGGTATGTACAAAATATAGAAATTTCTAAGCATTAAGATATTTTCCCTCTCTTTAACCCTTTTCAGTCCCATACATCCTTCTTTCTCCCCCAGTCCCTCCCAACACAGAGGGGGAGGGGTTAATATCTGTCATGGTGCATGCACATTTAATTGAAATTCATTCAATTGTGTTATATATTTTAACATGTGAAATTAATTGTGACCAAATACATCCTTGCAAAATATTCAAGAATACAGAAATATCATTGTTATGAGCAACAACCATTTAAGAAAACTTTGCTCTTCGCCAAGGTACCTGTAAATTTTTTCATGTATTTTATTGATGTCATTATTCCAGTTTTAACATTTTTCCATTATTTTTTCCTTATTTTTTTCTGTTGATTTCTCATTTTTTTCTTTTTTTCCCACCCTTATATGTAATGAGATGTCTTATTTTTTTCATTTGCACTTACATTTTTATCATTTCCCATCTGTTAGCAATTGCATTTGAAAAATCAACTCAAACAATTTATTGTTTACAAAGTAAATGTTCTTTGACAACAAAATCTAGTTAGACTTTTACTGACATGTCATGTGAAGTCTACCGCAAACGTATTTTCAATTTTCATTATTTTTTATTTCACTGATCATCATTACAACAAAGGATTTGGGATAGAAATGATCATTGCCTTTTCCTTTGATTATCTTGCAGAGAGGTATAGGAGTGAATATTTTTGTTTTCTGTATTAAATGTGGTAGGTAATGTAGAAAATGAAAATGTAGGTAAACAAAATGATTGAAAATTCCATGAAATATCAATTCTAAGACAGTCACAAGCAAGACTTTGGTATATATTTTAAAGAAGATATATTTCTATTTACATTATAGAGATTTCCCAAAAGGGTTATCCTTATTATAGTGTTTTCTGACTTGTTTGTTTAAAAATGGATTTTGAAGAGGCTTATAGTATACTTTGTCTTAGTTATATCTGAAGTAGAAATTGAGAATAAGTCTGTGTATTTGAGATGTTTTAATATTTAAAACATTTAAAAAATGACAGTATTTTTCAAAAACTTGTGGCTCAAAACATCACTTTAGAGGGATTCACTCAGAGAATAGCTGAGTTATTTTAAGTAAAATATATATGAGATGTTGTGATATATTAAATGATGTGTAGGGCAGCTAAAAATTTTTTGAGACTCAAATATCATAGGTATGTGTTTGTTCATGTGGGGCAATAGACTGTACATGTAGTAATAATTCATTTGCTTTAAGTTTGTACCTATATAAAATTTGATTAATCTTCTTAATCAAGTGATAAATACTATGTGACATGATATTATGTGTTAATAAACACTAAAAATTTTTAAATTATAATTTTATTATTCCCAATTGATATCTTTTTTACAATGTCTTCTTAACGTGTAGGTGATGTCTCTCAAAAGTTTTTTTCTTCATTACCTTGTGGTGGACTTGGGGTAAGTATGAGTTTGTTTACTGCTTTTAAATAACATAAATTGCCCAAAATATCTCCTTTGATTTATCTATTCAGGCTGTGTCTCCGTAAAAGTTATCCTAGACTTCAGGATTGGCTAAATAATTTATAGGGCTCAATTCCCAGTAAACATGCAAATTGCTGTGCTCAAAACTTATTAAGAATTTCAAGATGGTGACACAGTGAATTAATCCAGCTGTAGGGCTCTTCTAACTCTAGGGTTCTGTGGGACTGCACAGGTCACATTCCCGTAAAGCTAGCTTTGCTAGACTTTTATGTAGCTGGAGAAAAGGTAACCCAAGAGGGTTTAACCGTTTTGCAGCAGAATTCAGTTCTCAATAGAGTCACACGGAGTATGCAAGTACATTATATTCCTGATGAAAATAGCATTAACTTACTTCACAAAATGCTTTGCCTTGTGGCACATTTTGTTTGTGAACCCCTAGGGCCATTTTTGTCTTCAGTAATTAACAAAGCCTTTTTCGACCCAGGATATTTATGCCACATTTCAAGGACAAATTTATTTGAATCCAGTGACATATGAAGAAAAATGTCTACATTTTTATGGATGATTAGAACACATCCTTTAACCTGAAATCTATTTAAAGTTAACCCTTACCTGTAGCAAACTGTCATCCTATAGAACTGTTAAGTCATGTTAGGACAACACAATTCTAGATCAGGTTTCAAGGACTGAGAAATTTAAATCACTTAGGCTTCTTGAATATTGAAGGGAAAGAACTGTGTATGTCATATTTTAGGCAATATTTTGCTATAACTAAATTTTATACAGGGAAATGCCATATATTTTAAGTTAATTCTGTCATTTTAGTGATTCTAGCTTTCACAAGGATAATCTTTCTATTCCTTCACCTATGATTCTGCCCTCTCTAGAAATAAGAATGGCAACTACAACAACCAATATCTGCTTGGATTTTACAGTTTGTTAACATACAACTGAGGTTTATAAGAGCTTTGTAAAATAGTTATTATTTTTTCTTCGACCCAAGAACTGTGCTTTTTATTTTTTCATAGTTTTAGCTCTTTTTTTAATTTTTAAATTTTTAAATTTTTTATTGTTATGTTAATCATCATACATTACATCATTAGTTTTTGATGTAGTGTTCCATGATTCATTGTTTGTGCATAACACCCAGTGCTCCATGCAGAACGTGCCCTCTTTAATACCCATCACCAGGCTAACCCATCCTCCTACCCCCCTCCCCTCTAGAACCCTCAGTTTATTTCTCAGAATCCATAGTCTCTCATGGTTCGTCTCCCCCTCCGATTCCCTCCCTTCATTCTTCCCCTCCTGCTATCTTCTTCTTCTTCTTCTTTTTTTTTTTTTAACATATATTGTATTATTTGTTTCAGAGGTACAGATCTGTGATTCAACAGTCTTGCACAATTCACAGTGCTCACCATAGCACATACCCTCCCCAGTGTCTATCACCCAGCCACCCCATCCCTCCCACCCCCCACCACTCCAGCAACCCTCAGTTTGTTTCCTGAGATTAAGAATTCCTCATATCAGTGAGGTCATATGATACATGTCTTTCTCTGATTGACTTATTTCGCTCAGCATAACACCCTCCAGTTCCATCCACATCGTTGCAAATGGCAAGATCTCATTCCTTTTGATGGCTGCATAATATTCCATTGTGTGTGTGTGTGTGTGTGTGTGTGTGTGTGTGTGTGTGTGTATACCACATCTTCTTTATCCATTCATCTGTCGATGGACATCTTGGCTCTTTCCACAGTTTGGCTATTGTGGACATTGCTGCTATAAACATCGGGGTGCATGTACCCCTTCAGATCCCTACATTTGTATCTTTGTGGTAAATACCCAGTAGTGCAATTGCTGGATCGTATGGTAGCTCTATTTTCAACTTTTTTTTTTTTTAAAGATTTTATTTATTTATCTGAGAGAGAGAGAGAGAAAGCACATGAGAGGGAGGAGGATCAGAGGGAGAAGCAGACACCCTGCTGAGCAGGGAGGCCAATGCGGGACTCGATCCTGGGACTCCAGGATCATGACCTGAGCCGAAGGCAGTCGCTTAACCAACTGAGCCACCCAGGTGCCCTATTTTCAACTTTTTGAGGAACCTCCATACTGTTTTCCAGAGTGGCTGCACCAGCTTGCATTCCCACCAACAGTGTAGGAGGGTTCCCCTTTCTCTGCATCCCCGCCAACATCTGTCATTCCCTGACTTGTTAATTTTAGCCATTCTGACTGGTGTGAGGTGGTATCTCATTGAGGTTTTGATTTGGATTTCCCTGATGCCGAGCGATGTTGAGCACTTTTTCATGTGTCTGTTGGCCATTTGGATGTCTTCTTTGGAAAAATGTCTGTTCATGTCTTCTGCCCATTTCTTCATTGGATCATTTGTTCTTTGGGTGTTGAGTATAAGAAGTTCTTTATAGATTTTGGATACTAGCCCTTTATCTGATACGTCATTTGCAAATATCTTCTCCCATTCTGTCGGTTGTCTTTTGGTTTTGTTGACTGTTTCTTTTGCTGTGCAAAAGCTTTTTATCTTAATGAGGTCCCAATAGTTCATTTCTGCCCTTGCTTCCCTTGCCTTTGGCGATGTTTCTAGGAAGAAGTTGCTGCGGCTGAGGTTGAAGAGGTGCTGCCTGTGTTCTCCTTTAGGATTTTGATGGACTCCTGTCTCACATTTAGGTCTTTCAACCATTTGGAGTCTATTTTTGTGTGTGGTGTAAGGAAATGGTCCAGTTTCATTCTTCTGCATGTGGCTGTCCAATTTTCCCAACACCATTTGTTGAAGAGACTGTCTTTTTTCCTAAAATAGTTATTATTAATACCATTTTACAGATGAGAAACTCAAGGTTCAGAGAACTGACATTATTTTCCTGAAATCACACAGTAAAGGGTAAAAGGCTCAAAGTATGAGGTTGATGTGCATGTCCATGTGCAGGTGTTCTAAAAGAGCTCATTAGGTCCTTCCGTGGTTTTCATCTTTTGTTTTGTTTTGTTTTGTTTTGTTTTGTTTTGTTTTGTTTTGTTTTAGGCCAGCCACAGTCCCTAGAGCCTAGCAGTGCAACAGTGTGGCTGGTATAGTGTGGTCCCTTTTGTGGCAACTCACCAGTGAACTTCACTTTTTGACCCTGAGCACAAGACAGTCACCATCCTATTAATCCTTCCTTATTTTTAGCAAACCCACTGTGAAGCCAGGAACTTACAAAATCATTTGAGAAAGCAGAGGATAAACTGACTTTTAAAATAGGTTTCATTGGCTTTTGTGCTTCTTTTATAAAATCCCAAGTGCTCATTTTAAAGGGAATGGCTGATTACCTGTGAATGAAGCAAAGAATGAAACAAAACTAATAGCTAATTAGAGGGTACAATGATGGAGAGAAAATCAAAACTGTGATGGTCATCAAATTCCTACTCCTTTACACTTAATTCATGACCCAGAGCTGAAATGAGGACAGCTCCTTAGGATCCACCTCCCAGGTCTGACTTGGATTGTGCCTGTACTACACTATCCCTTGATACACAAAGTATGTCTATTCAACTGCTGTAAACCCATACCAAGGTAACTTCTTATTCTTTAGCTAGAACTGCTCTAGTAAACTCTTTGAAGTGCCCAAGGAATGAAGAATGAGTACTGCTTTTGTCCCTGTATGTCCAATACAAAGCACAGTCAGTATCATAAAATAAGTCCTTACTAATGTCCCCAAACACTGACTTTATCCTTGGTGGCAGCAATGGTAGTAGGTAAATCTAGCTTCAGCAAGCAGAGGCAGGAGGTGGAAGACTGGATTAGTTTGACTTCAGTGCTGGAGAAGGCTGGAGAGAGACACTTCTGTTTATTAGATTGGCCTCTTGGTCTTCTGAAGGTCTTCTGGTGGTTTTATGTAGGTCCAAGTGAATGTGAACATGTGTATGATGCGTGTGTGTGCACGCACAAGCTTGTCCGTGTTGGTACTCTAGAGAACTAGTTTGATTTGGCCTTTTTTTTTTTTTTCTTTTCCAGAAACCAAATTGTGTTCTTAGGCATTCAAAAACCTTCTTGCCCTGGGCGCCTGGGTGGCTCAGTTGGTTAAGCAACTGCCTTTGGCTCAGGTCATGATCCTGGAGTCCCAGGATCGAGTCCCGCATCGGGCTCCCTGCTCGGCGGGGAGTCTGCTTCTCCCTCTGACCCTCCCCCCTCTCATGTGCTCTCTCTCATTCTCTCTCTCAAATAAAAAAAAAAAAAAAAAAAAAAAAAACCCTTCTTGCCCTTCAGATCTTGCGTTTTGATATAAGTCCTAAGAGAATCCTCTAGATTTGTACCAGTCCTTACCTTTGGGACAGTCCTAGACATATTAAATATACAAAGATAGCCAGTGTGAACTGAGAGTGGTCCAACTTCACAACATGGGCCACTTCAGAGAACTTGGAAACCACCAAAATTGCTCTTGTGTTAAGGCACTCTTCCAGCTCATATTATTGGTTTAAATTCCAAAATACTTAATACTCCCCAATTATTAAAGTAAACTCCAGTCCCTAGAATATACACCATGCTACTAGGTGGCTTTAATATATACCTACTGAAGGCTGATGGATTGACTGGCTTCTGGGGAGACTGCCTGGGACATTGTGAAATCAGAAAATCCCTACTTCTTATTAAGTTTTCTCCTAAAATTGCATATGATAATTTTTTAAGTTTTTTAATTATAGTATAATTAACATATAGTGTTATATTAGTTTTAGGTGTAAAATACAGTGATTCAATAATTCTAAACATTACCCAGTGCTCATCATGATAAGTGTACTCTTTGCTTATGATAATTTGCCAGTAGTTGGCTAAGTTGCTCAATGGGCAAATGGTATGTAAGGTGCTTTAAAGTCTATTTTCCAGAATTACATTTTGAGCAACAATCGCAAGGGTTTCTAATTCCTTTTTGTTTGGTTCTCATTTTGTTTGTTACTATGGCAAGACTCACTTCTCATTAGTGTGTGATTGCACTACAAGA